ACTTAACTCTGATAGCATATAGAAATGTTCTGCTTCTACCCTCACATTGTAGGTTATTTTTAGATGTTGAAATCTCTTAATCTACAGGCTCTTCCTCCTTGGAGGAGGGTAAGGTGACCTTCAAGGTTGACTCCCAGTCTTCCATCCCCCCCCCCCTCAAATGGGAAAAGGGAAGTTGGGTAAAGGTTTTCTTGTGCTTAAGAAAGAGACTGAGGATGTTATTTGGAGGTGGTATCTAGAACTGCTGCAACCACCTGTGACCAGGAGGAAAACTAGACTGAAAATGAAGCTGACACAGAAAGGCAGAGGGGAGAAATGAAAAATCCTGGCGCCTCTATGGCATTTTGAGTGGCTGATGGTACCACTCCTGGAGCTTGATCCACTGCCGGGTTTTCAGTTGTGTGGCATAACACATGTCCTCACTGTTTAGCCCACTTGAATTTTGGGTTGTTATTGGAAGCCAGAAGCAGTGTAATTGAGACAGATTAGCCAACAGTGTTCGTGTTGCCAGGAGGTGGCACATATGAGGTCCAGTGGACTTATTTTGTCAGTCCAGTGAAACTTATGGGGAATAACCCACACCTATTCCTCAGAAATCCTTCACCATTCATGTGTTTTTAGTGGATTTGATCCCTTCCCATCCCCCAAAGAGGCCACACAATCAAATTCTGACCAAAGTACTCCATACTCTTGGGATAGGGACGTAGCCAAACCAGGCCAATCAGAGTTCTCCCTGGGACTCCCGCCATAGTCGTGAGGAAGAGATACTCTCTCTTCTAACTTCACAAGCTATGAAGACCATGTGGACTTGGAGCTGCCAGTGGCCATCATGTGGCCATCAAGAGAAGAGTGGGAATAAAGCCCAGTGATGACAAGCAGGACCAAAATGTGGAGAAAAGAGGCAGGGTCCTCAGACATCGGTGCTCCTCTGGGTGGAGCCAGGCTTGCAGCCCTCCACACTTGAGGGAAAATCACAATGTGGGGGAGCCAGGGACTCCAGCGATTAGCTGGGGCCTGTCCTGTGAGTTGGTGGATCAGGTTACACTGGTTCCTGTTCCTACCTGACTAGAACAGGGAGAAATGGGTATATTGAGCCACCGAAATCCCAAATCTTTGTATTATCAAGCTTCAAGTATGGCTGGATCCAGGACTCCAGGAGAGAATCAGGATTAGTTTCTGGCCAGTTTTCTCTCTCTTTTCTATAGAAATGGCTTTAGTCTCAGGTTTCACACGGTAGCAAGCTGGAGCCAGCAGCTCTAACCTCCATATCCTCTCTTGTCTCAAGTCCAGCAAAAAGGAAGGAAGGTCTTTGTTTCAGATTTTTTTCTTCTTTCTTTCTTTCTTTTCTTTTCTTTTTTTTTTTTTGTGGTATGTGTCCCTAGCGGGAACTGAACCCGGGACTCTCTGGTCCGCTGGCCGATGCTCCAACCACTGAGCCAAACTGGCCAGGGCTGTTTCAGAATTTTTAACCTGAGTTTCAATGCTTTTCATTGGCTCTGACAGCCCTGGACACCAGTGCTGAGTTACACTGCTGGAAGCCCATGGAAATAAGGAGAAAAGATATGGGGTAGCAAAAACAATAGATCTGATTTATAGGTTGGCTTGAGGAAATTAGGTGAGATTAACCCTGGGAGCATTAGCCCAGAGCCTGGCCCAGGGGGAGCCTCTCCATGGGCAGATTTGATTCCTGTTACTCTGCCTGCTCTGTGCAAATGGAGTCGGCCTCTGCCAAGATGCCCCAGCTCCATCTGAGTCAGTCTTGCTCCCCTGCCTGTCAGCCAGTTGAAATGGTACTGACTCAGCTCCTATGTGAGCAGCGTGCTGCCTGGAAAGTTAATAAGACTTTGAGGCAAGACGTTCCTCCTGTGGCGTGGGTTGGTGCTGCGAGTGGGAGGGAATGAATGAGAAAGAGTGGGAACACCGGGGCTCCTAGAGCATTTATGAAGTTAAGATGTACAGAAAGAAAGAGTGAGGGAAAAGTCAAGAGCAGTGATTAGAAAAGGCCACCCACAGAGGCTATGGGCGTTTTCTGCTAAGGATCCCGTGTTGCCCAGTCCCTGGAGGTGTGCTCATAGCTGCCACAGCCCCCATCCCCGACCAGCTCTGCCAGTGAGGTCTGCCCTGTGCGCAGCCCCGCCATTTCTTCCAAGTCCTCCTCCAGCTTACATTTTTTTCCTTCAAATGTAAGTTGCAAGGAGCAGAACAGAGGGAATTTGTCACTTGGAAAGGTAGAGGAGGAACCGAGAAGGAAGGCCCAGTTAGGAGGGGATCCTGGAGGAGAGAAGAGGAAAGGAGGGAGACAGAAAAAGGAAGACAGAGGACAGTGCAGAGTCTCATGGGGTGCTTTTCATAACCACTCAGGAGCTGGACCAAATTCAACACGTAGCACCTGCTCTTTGCTGGGACCCCAGCTAGGAGGTGAGGACACAGAAATAAATAGGATGTGGTCCCTGCCAGCAGAGTCTAGTGTGGGAGACAGTAAGAAAATCCTTAATTACAATGGAATGTGATTGCAGGAATTCAGTGGTGAAGGAAAATATCTCTGAGGGAGGAATTGCCAGCAGGGGGTCTCAGGTCAGGTCTAGCCTTAGCTTGGTCCAGAGGTTTGGGATCTTGGGCTCTGGAGCACAGATGCACCTCAGAGTGGTTCCCCTGATGGCCTTTTCCACTTCTGTTTCAAGCTTTGGCTTTGGGCTCATGGTGGGTGGCAACCTCCCTGGCAAGGATGTTCCTCCACAAGGGGACAGCTGGAGTAGCTGTGATCCTTGGAGCCAATGTTCACAGCAGCTGGAGGCTGGGCCCAGCAGCCTGGTAGAGTGACCTGGGAGGCACCAATAGCATCTGCTACCACAGGTGCCATGCCAGATGTTTGGTGGAGGACACAGTGAGGAGCAGAAGGGAGGGCAGGGGGGGCGTCCTGGAGGAAAGCGTCATTCTGCAGAACAGCTTAGGAGGTGGCCAAGCAAAGATAAAGATCTGAGGGGTCACCATGTGTAAAAGTTGTAGGAGCTTGCGGTACTTTCTGGAAACCTTAAGATATTTAAGAATGACACTGAGCATAGGGTGGGCCTGGGATGGTGGGTAGAAGCCAGATCGTGAAGAGTTCTGTGTGCCTTAATAAAAAATTGGGAATTGAAGTTCTTCTAAAAAGAACTAGATTCTCATTCTGCCCCACGACAATCCTTTCTGAAAACATTTACTCATGGTCACAGCCTTGTGCAGTTAAGTAAAATCAGGATCCAGATGCTGCAGAACTGAAGTGGAGAAGAGGCCACCAGTGGGCAAATGTCCAAAGACGGACAGCCAGAGAGGGGCCATCTCCAAGGGCTGAAAACACAGGGGTTGAGACCAACTGAAAAAAATTTTTAAATATGTTTTTATTGATTAAAAACTTTTTTTTTCTTTATTGGTTTTAGTGAGAGAGGAAGGGGAAGGGAACGAGAGATAAAAACATTGATGAGAGAGAACATTGATTGGCCACCTCCTGCATGCCCCTCATTGGGGATCAGGCCCACAACATGGGCATGTGCCCTGACCAGGAATTGAACTGATGACCCCCTGGTGCATGGGTCGATGCTCAAACATTGAGCCACACCAGCTGGGCTATTTTTATTGATTTTTAGAGAGACAGAAAGGGAGAGAAAGAAAGAAACATTGATGTGAGAAAGAAACATCGATCTGCTGCCTCCTGCACGCCCCCTACTGGGGATCCAGCCTGAAACTGGTGCCTGTGCCCTGATCAGGAACTGAACTAGGACCTCTCAGTCCATGGGATGATGCTCAATCCACTCAGCCACACCAGCCAGGCTGAAAGTTATTATTATTATTATTATTATTATTATTTTATTATTATTTTTAATGTGGTACGTGCCCCTAGCGGGAACTGAACCCGGGACTCTCTGGTCCAGAGGCCAACGCTCAACCGCTGAGCCAAACTGGCCAGGGCTGAAAGTTGTTTTTTTGAGTGGGAATTCTGGAAGCAGAAAGTGTCATCACAAGGGAACCCTGTGGAGAGGGATGAGTGCAGACTTTGGAATCTAAAAGCTTAACCCTACCAGCCAGGTGACTCTGGAAAAGTCACCCAACTCTCTGAGACTCCATTTCCACATCTGTCACTGGGGATCATATCTGTCCCATGGGGTCAGCTAAGATAAGGCATGTGTGTAAAGAGTCTGTATCAATGTTAGTTACTGTAAGTGTGCCTCAAAAACAAACAAACAAATAAACAAAAATAATGAGAATCCCAAAGTGGGCTCATTTTCCTCAAGTTACCATTTGGCACCGAGCAGGTTGGTGACTTACTGGATGATACAGCAAGTCAGCAGCAGAGCCAAGGTGTAAACTCATCCTCATACTGACTCCAACATCATCAGCAGAATCAGCAGAAACCCGACTTCACACTGCAGTTCAGACATCGGAGGTATTTCCAGGAAGTCACTTTCAGCAAAGAGTGTTCCAGGTGGTTCTCAGTGGGCAGCCCCAATATTCTCCAAATGGTTGGCAAGCTATAGCTGGATGAGCTTCCCAGGAGGCAGGGCAACAAGGGAGACAGAGAGCAGATGTGTGCCCTGAGGGCTGGAGAAGACATGGAGTTTCTCAGTGTTTCCTATGTCTAGAGCACCCCTCTCCCACACCTTTTATTTTTATGTATTATATTTTTTAAATATGTTTTTACTGATTTTAGAGAGAGAGGGGGAGAGAGAAACATCAATCAGCTGCCTCTTGCACGCCCCCTACCGGGGATTGAGCCTGCAACCTCGGCTGAAGCCCTGACTGGAAATTGAGCCAGTGACCTTTCGCTACACGGGAGGATGCTCAACCCACTGAGCCCCACCAGCCAGGGCATACCCACCTTTTAAAAAGAGGCTTTTTAGCCCTGCCAGTGCTCTCCCCTCTCCTCCCTCCGGCCTGCCTCCCCACCTACGCCCCAGCCCTTTTCTCTCCCCGAAGCAGCAGTAGCAGCAGGAGGAGGAGCCCGGAGGTGGCGGTGGCCCGGGAGCCCATGGGGTACAGTCAGGGAGGCGGCAAAAAGAAAGTCTGCTACTACTACGATGGTGATATTGGAAATTATTACTATGGGCAAGGCCATCCTATGAAACCTCATAGAATCCGCATGACCCATAACTTGCTGCTAAATTATGGCTTATATAGAAAAATGGAAATATATAGGCCCCATAAAGCCACTGCTGAAGAAATGACAAAGTACCACAGTGATGAGTACATAAAATTTCTACGTTCAATAAGACCAGATAACATGTCTGAGTATAGTAAGCAGATGCAGAGATTTTGTCTGCGTATAGTAAGCAGATGCAGAGATTTAATGTTGGAGAAGATTGTCCAGTGTTTGAAGGACTCTTTGAGTTTTGTCAGCTCTCAATTGGTGGCTCAGTTGCTGGGGCTGTGAAGTTAAACCGACAACAAACTGATATGGCTGTTAATTGGGCAGGAGGATTACATCATGCTAAGAAATCAGAAGTATCAGGATTCTGTTATGTTAATGATATTGTGCTTGCCATCCTTGAATTACTAAAGTATCATCAGAGAGTCTTATATATTGATAATGATATCCATCACGGTGATGGTGCTGAAGAAGCTTTTTATATGATAGATTGTGTAATGACTGTATCATTCCATAAATATGGGGAATACTTTCCTGGAACAGGAAACTTGAGAGATATTGGTGCAGGAAAAGGCAAATACTATGCTGTCAATTTTCCAATGAGAGATGGTATAGATGATGAATCATATGGACAGATATTTAAGCCTATTATCTCCAAAGTGATAGAGATGTATCAACTGAGTGCTGTGGTGTTACAGTGTGGTGCAGACTCACTATCTGGTGGTAGACTTAGTTGCTTCAATCTGACAGTCAAAGGTCATGCTAAATGTGTAGAAGTTGTAAAAACTTTCAATTTACCATTGCTGATGCTTGGAGGAGGTGGACACACAATCCGTAATGTTGCTCGCTGTTGGACATATGAGACTGCAGTTGCCCTTGATTGTGAGATTCCCAATGAATTGTCATATAATGATTACTTTGAGTATTTTGGACCAGACTTCAAACTGCATATTAGTCCTTCAAATATGACAAACCAGAACACTCCAGAATATATGGAAAAGATAAAACAGCGTTTATTTGAAAATTTATGCATGTTACCTCAGGCACCTGGCGTCCAAAGGCAAGCGATTCCAGAAGATGCTGTCCATGAAGACAGTGGAGATGAAGACGGAGAAGATCCCGACAAGAGAATTTCTATTCGAGCATCAGATAAACAGATAGCTTGTGATGAAGAATTCTCAGATTCAGAGGATGAAGGAGAAGGAGGTCGTAGAAATGTGGCTGATCATAAGACAGGAGCAAAGAAAGCTAGAATTGAAGAAGACAAGAAGGAAACAGAAGACAAAAGAGCTGATGTTAAGGAAGAAGATAAATCCAAGGATAATAGTGGTGAAAAAACAGATACCAAAGGAGCCAAATCAGAACAGCTCAGCAACCCTTGAATTTAAAAGTCTCTCCATTTTCAGAAGACAAAAAATAAAAAAAGAGAAAATATTGGGAAGAAAAATGTTTTCTGTTTGAAGACTTCTGGCTTCGTTTTATACTACTTTGGCATGGACTGTATTTATTTTCAAAATGGCTTTTTTGTTTTTGTTTTTGCTCTGGCAAGTTTTAGTGTGAGTTTCTAATTATGAAGCAAAATTTCTTTTCTCCACCATGCTTTATGTGATAGTATTTAAAATTTATGTGAGTTATTATGTCAAAAAACTGATCTATTAAAGAAGTAATTGTCCTTTCTCAGCTAAATTATCTTTATTGAAAAATTGTACTTGGAAAAAACAAACAAAAAAACCCCAGGTTTTTTAGCCCTGGCCAATTTGGCTCAGCAGTTAGAGCGTCAGCCTGCGGACCAGAGAGTCCCAGGTTCGGTTCCCGCTAAGGGCACGTACCAAAAAAATAATAAAAATAAAAACAGCTTTATTACTTATTATTATTATGTTTTCTTTATTGGTTTTGAGAGAGAGAGGGAGTGAGAGGAAGAGAGAGAGACAGAAACATCGCTGAGAGAGAACATCGATTGGCCGCCTCCAGCATGTCCCTCACTGGGGATCAGGCCCACAACCTGGGCGTGTCCTGACCTGGAATTGAACCGACAACCTCTTGGTGCATGAGTTGATGCTTAACCACTGAGCCACACTGACTGGGCTAAAGACATGTTTATTGAGATATAATTCACATATCAAAAAGCATATCTTTTTAGAGTATACAATTCAATGGTTTTCAGTATATTCAGAGAGTGATGAAACTATCACACAATAAATTTTAGAATATTTTTATCATTCCATAAAAGGGCTCCTACTCATTAGCAGTCACTTTCTTTCTCCCACTCCCACCTTCCTCCTCGACCTAGGCAGTCACTAGTCTACCTTGTACCCCTAGATTAGCCTATCCTGAGCATTTCATATAGATAGGATCATAAGACGTATTCTTTAATGATTTCAAGTTTCATCCATGTTGTATGTAGCTGCATCAGTACTTCATTTATTTTTTTAATCCTCACCTGAGGATGTTTTTTGAATTGAGTTTTAAAGAGAGACAGAGAGAAACATCGATGTGAGAGAGAAACATCAATCCATTGCCTTCCATACATGCCCCAACAGGGGATCGAACCCGCAACCTGGATATGTGCCCTGACCAGGAATCAAACCCACAACCTTTTGGTGCACTGGAAGATGTTTGAATCAACTGAGCCACACTGGCCAGGGCAGTACTTCATTTCTTTTCTTTTTCTTTTATTTTATGGCTGAAAAATATTCCATGGTATGGATATACTACATTTAATTTATCCATTCAGTTTATGGGCATTTGGATTGTTTCCAGTTTAGTGCTATTATGACTAACGCTGCTATGAACATTCACATGCAGGTTTTTGCATAGACATGTTTTTGTATCTCTTGGGTATAGACCCTGGCGTGGAATTGCTGTCTCATGTGATGACTCTATGTTTAACATTTTGAGAAAATGCTAGACTGTTTTTTAAAGTGACTATGCCATTTTACATTTCTACCAACAGTATATGAGGATTTCAATTTCTTCACATCCTTGCCAACTCTTGTTATTATCTGTCATTTTAATTATTGCTATCCTAATGGGTGTGAGGTAGTATCTCACTGTGTAGTTTTTGTGTGGTAAAATATTCATAATATATTATTTATCATACATTCTTCACTGCAGTTTTGCATTCCCTTATGGATAATGATGTTAGGTATCTTTTCATGTGCATATTGACCATTTGTTTATCTTCTATTCAGATCCCTTGCTCACTTTTAAATTGGATTGTTTGTTGTTTTATTATTGAGTTGGAGGAGTTCTTTATATATGCTAGATACAAGCCCCTTATCAGATATATAATATGCAAAGATTTTTCTCCCGTTCCATGGTCGTCTTTTCACTTTCTTTTTTCCTTTTCTTTTTTTAATCCTCACCCAAGGATATTTTTTAATTTATCATCAGATAGAGGGGCAGGGAAGGAGAAAGAGAGAGAGAAAGAAACATCGATGTGAGAGAAGACACATCGACTGGTTGCCTCCCGCACAACCCAACCAGGGCTGGGGACGAACCGCAACCAAGGTACATGCCCTTGACTGGAATCGAACCCACGGCTCTTTGGTCTGTGGGCCGATGCTCTAACCATTGAACAAAAGTGAATCAAACTGGCCAGGGCTTTGTTCACTTTCTTTTTTTTAATTTAATTTTATTTTTTTATCCTCACCCGAGGACATTTTTCCGTTTTTTGTTCAGATAGAGGGGGAGGGAGAGAGAGAAAGAGAGAGAGAGAGAGAAACATCAACATGAAAGGGACACATCGAGTGGCTGCCACCCGCAGGACCAACCAGGGCCGGGGACAAACTGCAACCAAGGCGCCCTTAGTGGGAACCGAACCTGGGTATCTCCGGACCACAGGCCAACACTCCAACTGCTGAGCCAAACCGGCCAGGGCTCTTTTCACTTTCTTGATGGTGTTCTTTGTAGCACAAAACTTTTAAGTTTTGATGAAGCCTATTATCTCTTTTCTTCTGTTGCTGTGCTTTTGTTTTTTTTTTGTTGTTTTTTTTGTTTTTTTTTTTTAATCCTCACCCTAGGGTATTTTTCCATTTTTTGTACAGATAGAATGGGAGGGAGGGAGAGGAAGGGAGAGAGAGAGAAAAACATCGACGTGAAGGGACACATCGAGTGGCTGCCACCCGCACGACCAACCAGGGCCGGGGACAAACTGCAACCGAAGTACATGCCCTCAGCGGGAACCGAACCCGGGTCTCTCCGGACCGCAGGCCGACACTCTAACCGCTGAGCCAAACTGGCCAGGGCTCTGTTGCTGTGCTTTTGAAGTCATATCAAAGAAGGTTTTGTTTGTTTCATCTTTTTTTTTTTTTTTTTAATCCTCATTCGAGGACATTTTTCTATTTTTTGTACAGACAGAGTGGGAGGGAGAGAGAGAGGGAAACATCGATGTGAAAGGGACACATCGAGTGGCTGCCACCCGCACGACCAACCAGGGCCGGGGACAAACTGCAACCGAGGTACATGCCCTTAGCGGGAACCGAACCCGGGTCTCTTCGGACCGCAGGCGGACACTCTAACCACTGAGCCAAACCGGCCAGGGCTCATCTTTAAATTTTTAATTTTATACCCAGGTAAAGATCTAGGCATACTAAAACGAAGAATCTTGTAAGTTTTTTTTTTTTTTTTTTTTTGGTACAGATAGCGTGGGAGGGAGAGAGAGGAAGGGAGAGAGAGAGGGAAACATCGACGTGAAGGGACACATCGAGTGGCTGCCACCCGCATAACCAACCAGGGCCGGGGACAAACTGCAACCGAAGTACGTGCCCTCAGCGGGAACCGAACCCGGGTCTCTCCAGACCACAGGCCGACGCTCTAACCGCTGAGCCAAACTGGCCAGGGCAGTTTGTTTTTTTTTGTTGTTGTTTTTTTTTAAATACACACTAATTTAAGTAATTATAAGCATTCAAGGCTTATTGAGCACTAAGGGAAACTGAGAATGAAATCAATGTTACCAGTTTCTAGTCCCTTGAGTTCAGCTGTTTAGAAGGAGGGCTTTGACGTGGGTGGCAGCATACTCGTAGACCAGCAGCCCTAACAGGAGCACCTGTCTGTCTCTGAAAGCTGACAGCTGAGCAGCACTGGGCTTGGAAGAGGGTGGTGTTGAAGTAAAGGAGGAGCTAGGTAGGTAAAAGTGCAAATGGTAATTTATTCCTTTTTGACATTTTTATAATTTTTATTTCTCCTATATCCAGTGCCTACCCCAAAAGATGCACACTGTGTGAGCACATGGAAGTAACTGTGTGTTTAATTCTATGAGCAGGATTGACATTATAACCAGAAAGCAATGTTCTTCTTGGCATGACTTCACACCACTTGGTTTAGCCAGATTCTCCTTACATGTTGGCTGACCCACAGATTGCCCTTCTGTAGAAGCAGAGTGAGGAAATGTACAGCCTTTTATACTTTGCTCTACACGAGATTTGATCCCTGTAAGAAGGTTTTATCTAAACTAAAGTCATGAAGATTTATCCTATATTTTCTTCTAAGAGTTTTATAGTTTTAGTTCTTTCATTTAGGTCTATGATCTGCTTTGAGTTCATTTTTATATATATAGTGTGAGGTAGGGGTCCAACTTCATTTGTGTGTGTGTATCCAGTCGTCCAAGTGTCATTTGTTGTAAAGGCTATTTATTTTTTTATCCTCACCTGAGGACTTTTTTTTTTTTTTTTTTTGCATTTATCATCAGATAGAGCAGGAGGGAGAGAAGGAGGAAGAGAGAGAGAGAAACAGCGATATGAAAGAGACACATCAACTGGCTGCCCCACCCACACGGAGCTGGGGACAAACTGCAACCAAGGTACACGCCCTAAGCAGGAACCAAACCCAGGTCTCTCTGGTCCGTGGGCCGACGCTCTCACAGCTGAGCCAAACCAGCCAGGGCGCAAAGGCTATTCTTTTCCTCACGGAATTGGCTTGGCCATATTGCATAGCTCCTTTTTAAGAAAAATAGGCCTTAAACAGTTATTTCTACCTGCAGTTGGTACGACTCTTATGATTTCTGGTAAGTGAAGCCAGCTTTCCCCCCCCTGGTTACTGGCACCTTAGACTAGTGCCTATGGTCTGAGGTGACTTGGTGTCCAATATGGATTCCTAGTACTTGAGAGAGACAAAAAAAAATCAGAGTCTCTCTGAAAGAGCACAGAGGCTGGTGCCTACAGAGAAGGCAGGAGACGTACCTTGATGTGTTCTCCCAGAGATGTTGCGGTGCTTCCCAGGTCTCCATGTGGCCTGATATTTTGGAATCGTTGGGGCCCAGAGTGGTGGTGCTGTTTTTAGTTTTTTCATTGTTCATTAAGAAAAATATTTACCCTGGCCGGTTTGGCTCAGCGGTTAGAGCGTCCGCCTGCGGTCCGGAGAGGCCCGGGTTCGGTTCCCGCTAAGGGCATGTACCTTGGTTGCAGTTTGTCCCCGGCCCTGGTTGGTCGTGCGGGTGGCAGCCACTCGATGTGTCCCTTTCACATTGCTGTTTCCCTCTCTCTCCCTCCCACTCTGTCTGTACAAAAAATGGAAAAATGTCCTCAGATGAGGATTAAAAAAAAAAAAAGAAAAATA